CGGCGCGCCGCGCGAGGACGGCCCGGCGGGCCCCGCGCCCGCGCCCCCGCTCCTCCCGGGCCCCTCGGCCTCGGCCACCGCGGCGATTCGCGCCTCGCGGCGCCGGCACCTGCCCGCGCGCCCCCCGCGTGCCCCGGGCCCGCGAGCGTTGGCGTTGGCGTTGGCGGCGCGCGCAGGGGCATGCCCCGCGCCTAGGGCCCGGGGGGCGCGCGGGGGGCGCGCGGGGGGCCCAGGCGGCGGGCGCGGCGCGGGGCGCGTGGATGTGGCGCCGGGCCCGGGCGGCGGCGGGCTCCAGCGGCGGGACCCCTTCGCCCCGCCCGCCTTCCCCTTCGCGCCCCCGGGCGAGGCCGCGGCCGTGATCGTCCGGGAGCCGGCGGCGGGGGGCGGCCGGGGCCGGGGCCGGGGCCGCCGCCGGGGCGCGCGGGGCGGCGGCGGGGGCCGCGGGGGCCCTGGCGCACGGGATCGGGAGCGGCCCGTGGAGTCGGAGCGCACCATGGAGGCGGCGGCGGGCGGTCGCGGCGGCTTCCAGCCGCACCCGGGGCTGCAGAAGACGCTGGAGCAGTTCCACCTGAGCTCCATGAGCTCGCTGGGCGGCCCGGCCGCCTTCTCGGCGCGCTGGGCGCAGGAGGCCTACAAGAAGGAGGGCGCCAAGGAAGCGGGCGCGGCCGCGGTGCCGGCGCCGGTCCCTGCGGCCGCCGAGCCGCCGCCCGTGCTGCACCTGCCCGCCATCCAGCCGCCGCCGCCCGTGCTGCCCGGGCCCTTCTTCATGCCGTCCGACCGCTCCACCGAGCGCTGCGAGACCGTCCTGGAGGGCGAGACCATCTCGTGCTTCGTGGTGGGCGGCGAGAAGCGCCTGTGCCTGCCGCAGATCCTCAACTCGGTGCTGCGCGACTTCTCGCTGCAGCAGATCAACTCGGTGTGCGACGAGCTGCACATCTACTGCTCGCGCTGCACGGCCGACCAGCTGGAGATCCTCAAAGTCATGGGCATCCTGCCCTTCTCGGCGCCCTCGTGCGGGCTCATCACCAAGACGGACGCGGAGCGCCTGTGCAACGCGCTGCTCTACGGAGGCGCCTACCCGCCGCCCTGCAAGAAGGAGCTGGCCGCCAGCCTGGCGCTGGGCCTGGAGCTGCGCGAGCGCAGCGTGCGCGTGTACCACGAGTGCTTCGGCAAGTGCAAGGGGCTGCTGGTGCCCGAGCTCTACAGCAGCCCGAGCGCCGCCTGCATCCAGTGCCTCGACTGCCGCCTCATGTACCCGCCGCACAAGTTCGTGGTGCACTCGCACAAGGCCCTGGAGAACCGGACCTGCCACTGGGGCTTCGACTCCGCCAACTGGCGGGCCTACATCTTGCTGAGCCAGGACTACACGGGCAAGGAGGAGCAGGCCCGCCTGGGCCGCTGCCTGGACGACGTGAAGGAGAAGTTCGACTACGGCAACAAGTACAAGCGGCGGGTGCCCCTGGTGAGTGTCCCCACCGGCCTCGGGGGAGGGCGCGCGAGGGGCGGGGCTGGGGAGAGGGTGGGGGCCGCCGCCTCCGGCAGGGGCCCTGTCTCTGCAGGCCGAGACCTGCGCGCTGCCTCTCCCCCACGTCTCAGGGCTTTGCTTTGTTTGAAGGAGAATCGGGTTCGCTTTAGGGTCCCCCCGGATGGTCCTGTAGCTGGGCAGGCAGGCCCCCTCCTGCCTGACCCCTGGGACTTAGCCAGCCTGCCTGGCGTGGAGGGCCCGGCCCGGTGGGTGGAGAAGCCCTCCTCTCCGGCAGCCGCCCAGAAAGGCCGGGGAGGGCAGGCCTCAGTCCTCAGGACGCCCCTGCCCAGAGCCCTGGGAAGTTAGACCTGGGCTGGGCCCCGGCTGGAGCCTGGGGCCAAGGCCTGCCTTCCTCTGGGTGCCTCAGGAAGCGTCCAGACCAGGTGGGGGCAAAGGGCACTGCCAACCCCAGAGCTCCCAGGCCCGCAGGCCCCAGCCGGCGGGACTTGGCCAGGCAGAGCCTTTCTGTGCCTGGAAGTCCTGGGAGACGCTAACAGACGGCCCGTGTCCTGGCGCCCTGGCAGGGGGCCGAGACTTGGGGACTCCAGCTCTGTGTCTCCCTGGGCCTTCCAGGGAGTGAACCCAGAGTCCCCGCGTGAGGGTGCGGCCACGAGCACGGGGCGCCAGGCCGCAGCAGCGGGCACCCCAGGCCGAGAGCTCCGGTGGCCTGTGGCTGGCAGTTTGTTTTGGAGGCGCCCATGTCCCTCTCCCTCTGTCTCCTACGCGGGAGGGCGCGGGAGGGCAGGGCGGGGAGGGCCAGGCCGGCGCTGCTGTGTGTCTGTCCGGGGACATTTGTGGTCTGGCCCCTCCCGGGACCGCTGGACACTGAACGCATCACCCAGGTCCTCACCAACTTCCCTTGGCATCTGCCCCCTCCCCACGAACCTGCAACTTTCCTTTCACATTTCCAGGCTTATTAAATCGCACACAGAATGCTGCCCTGGCTCAGCTATTCTTGGAGGCCTAATTAATTCAGCTATTGCATCAAACTTCTTTTTCTGAATCTGTGAATAGAGGCTCCCGCCTGATTTTCTCTGGGCGCCCCTCCAGCGGAGTGTCAGTCTTGGGGAGCGGAGGAGGGGCTGGGGAGAAGGGGGGCCTGTCGCCTGTGCTTAGAGGGGCTGCCGCGTGTGCGTGTGCAGGGGCATTTCTGCCCTTGCCAGACCAGTGCCCGGTGGCAGCTGTTGGCAGACTGCGGGTTTGCCGTGGGGCAGGCAGGAGGGTCTGCGCGGGTGTGCTCCGGGGGTGCCGGTGGGAAGGCTGCCGGCAGGGCCCCGCGTTGGAGACGGAGTTGGCTCTGGGTGGCCTGCGGGGCCCTCCCTGGGACTGGGAGCCTTTCCCGTGTGGGGTGGCTGCACCCTGGACGGCCAGCGTGGCCTGAGGGGGCCAGTGTGCAGGGCGGGTGGGTTCTGGCCGCCTGGAGCTGGCGGGCCGGCGGGCGAGGCCACGGCAGGCCCCTCACCTGCAGAGTGGACAGCAGAGGGTGTTGTCTGGCAGGGCGTGTCTGCATCTGTGTTTGTGTCCGAATCTGGGTCATGTGTGTGTTTGCGGTCTCCTGCTGTCCTGGGGTTGCCGCTGTCACAGCCGCGGCCGGCCTGGCGCCCTGCACCCCGTGCGGGTGTCCTCCGCTCATGGAGGGCGCGGCTGGAGCTTGCGGCCCAGGGCTGTCTGGGGAGACGAGCCACAGACAAGTGGTCAGAGCACACTTTCACTCTGGCCATCTCGACAGATGGCCAGCGCTGCCCCTTCTGCGTCAGTGACCTCCCCAAAGCCGCGTGTGCGGATTTAAAAGAATCTCCCAAGTGGTCGGCCTCCAGGCCTAAGTGGCAGCCCAGCCCTGTCCTCACAGTGGTGGCCTGGGCCTGAGGTCTGGCTGTCTGTTCACGTGTCCCCCGTCTCTGCCGGCCGCACCTCCAGGGGCTCCTGCCTGCCCTCCTGCTGCCCCCCACAGCCACCCCTCACCCCGCCTCTGGGCTCTTCCTGCCAGCCTCTCTCCGTTGCCCTGCTGCCGTGGCTCTGATGGCACCGTTGGGAGTTTTGGGGTGTGTGGTCCCCTTTAAATCTTCCCAGCACAGCCGTGTGCTTGTGTCTACACGCCAGAGGCACCACGTGAGGAGGAGGGTCTCAGCCTGGGGGTGGGGGGCCCACAGCTGCCCAGGCTGTTTGCTCTGGAAGGAGCCGCCTGGGAAGACCCCTCCCAGCGCCTGCCCATCTCCGCGGGCCCCTCCCACCGCCTCTGGACCGCGTGTTCCTAGGAGGTGTTTTGATTTCTTCACTTCCTTTGTAGCTGATTTTAATGTTTTTGATGTGCTGAGCGTGCGGACAGAAGGCAACAAAGACGTGGCTGGCACTGCTCTCTGCAGGGGACAGGGCTCCCCTGGGGCGGAGGGTTCTGGGAGGAGGAAGTGCGTCCCGGGTGTTGGCGGCCAAGGTGTCGCCAGGTCTCCTGCCAGACGGACGCTCAGTCGGCGCTGCCGTGCCACCGGCGGTGGGAGGGGTTGGTGATCTTCCTGGTGCTCCCAGGCCCCGTCGCCTGCACCCGTCGCCTGCGCCCTCCGCCTGCGGCCCAGCCGTGGGGGCTGGTGGTTCCTGTGGTTGCCGGGGTGGAACCGAGCGTGGGGCGGGTGCCAGGTCCGGGCCTGGAAACCCTGTGCAGGCGGCGTCTGGGTGCAGGCTGGCGGCCTTCCTTGGTGGCGCCTCTGATGTAACGGTCCCGGCGAGAGGGCCCCCCCGCCTGCTGTCCGTGGGCGTCCGCAGTGGGCAGCGGGTGGGAACCGCACGGCCTCTGTGCCTCGTTTCCTCGCGTGTACCGGGGACGGTGGGAGAGTGGCAGCGGATTTGTCTCGGGCGTTGAGGTTGAGGTGTCGGTGCCTCCGGGCGGAGACGTGCCGCGTTTGCTGCTGGGAACGGGCGCACAGCTGAGGGCCTCGCCCGCTCGGCCTTCCCTCTGCCCAGGGCTCGGCCACCCCCGGGCTTGTCCAGTGGCGCCTGGACGACGTTGGGCTGGTTTTAGCGGCGCAGGTGCAGGTGCTGCCGGAGAGGAATCCTGGCGCTGGGGTGTGGCGAGCGCTGCCCTCCGCGGGGGCCCAGGTGCTTCCCTTTCAGGGACGGCAGGGTGGAGCGCTGTGTCCCTGGGGCCCCAGCAGGGCTCCTCGGAAGTGCTGTCCCTCTGTCCTTCTGACACCGAGTTCTGGGAGGCTCTTCCCTGCCGGGTGGCCCTGTCGTGTGGCCGACGCGTGTTAGGCCCACGGGCCCGCGGGGTGCGGCGGGAGCGCCCACGGCTGGACGGTCTGTTCCAGTGGACGCTGTTCTCCCTGCACCGGGACTGGCGTCTTCCTGGTCAGAGGCCCTGCTCCCTCAGGCAGAAACCGGCCGGCGGCAGCCTTGAGCAGCCTGGCGTCTCAGGATCCCTGTTGGGGGGTGACTGCGGCTCTGAGTTGCGGAGGCAGGGGGTGCGGGGGGTCTGGGGACCTCTGAGCTGGAATTCCCACGGGGAGGGCGTCCCATCAGGTGGAGCCGCTCTGGCCAGCGTGCTCCCTCCGGGAACCCGCCTCCTTGTGGGGCAGCTCTGCTCCCCCAGGGCCACCCAGACTGGCAGAGGTTGCGAGGGTCCCCTGTCCCTGTGTCCCCTGGTTTGCTCTGTTTTTGTGGGTTCCGTGGTGATTTCCTGCTTCCAGACGGTTGGCTGAGAAGGTGGGGTGCCATCTCGGGTGATGCTCTGAGGGAAGGCTCCTGCCCCGCCCCCCCCCATGCAGGATGGGTCTGTGAGTCAGTCTGGACATTAGGGTAAAGGTTGCGGGGTGTCTCCTCAAACGAGGAACAGCAGCTGGTCTGCCCTGCGCCCTGTCATTGGCCGTGGAGCAGGGGGAGGCGGGGCTGCCTGGTGTCCGTCTGTCTGCGCGAGCAGCCGGTCTGTGGTCCTCCAGGAGCGGCCGTCTCCTGGGTCCAGCGCCTTCTCTGGAGCTGGGCTGGGCCCCTGGCCCTCTGGGGTTTGTTTCCCTGACGTGGGCATCCCGCTTGGGGCAGCCTGTCACTGAGCAGCCCTCACCTCTGTCCCTGCCGCCCTCGGCCCCGGGAGCGTGGGGTGCTGAGAGGAGGGTCGCTGCCTCGCCGCCTCGCTGCCCGTGGGCTCCGCGTCCTCCCTGCAGCGGCTGTGCCTCGGCGCTGGCCGTCGGGAGAGGCAGACAGGACCGGAGGGAGGAAGCGTGACCCCAGCCCCAGGCGCTTCCGGGCCTGCACCCGGCCGTCTGTGGGAGGTGTCCGTGTCCGTCTGTGGCCGGCGGCCGGCGGCCGACTGCGGCCTGGAGGCTGTTACACAAGCAGCAATAACGTGGCTCTTCCGAAGGATTGCGAAAGAGGGAGGGTTCCTCCCCTGGAAGAATTATGCAAGTTTCAACTGAAATGTTTTTTAAAAGTTTCTTTGTTTTGACTCAAAATACAGAGGCTGGATTATTTCCTTAAGATAGATCAGCGCGAGCTGCGGGAGGAGACCGCGGCCTCCTTCCTGAGGGCCCGTCCCCTCCTGGCCGTCACCAGGGCCGGGCGGCGGGTGGCGCGTTGGGATGGCGGCGGCAGTGAGATGGTGGACGGGCACGCCTTGTGCTTGTGAACCGGCTCAGACGCGGGGGGCGGGCCCGGCTCGCAGAAGGAACAGGAAGTCATTGCGAGGGAGCGTGTGGGGTGTGTGGCCGGCGGCTGTTCGTGGGAACGGGGTGGCCCCGGCCCCCCCAGCCTCCTGCCTGAACGCGGGGGGCGGGGCCCCACGAAGACCAGGCCGGGCTCGTGCAGGTGACGTGCAGGTGACGGTCTGCTCAGGACGCACCTGGCGGCCGGTGGGCGAGGAGCGGTGGCCGCTCTGAGGAAGGGGGACGGGGCTCCCCGGGAAGAGGGGGCTCTCCGGGAAGAGGGGGCTCCCCAGGAAGAGGGGGCTCCCCAGG